CATGAAATGCAGCTGCTAAGCTGGTTTGGGATATGGTAATGATATCATTAGAAGAATTAGGATTACTCTCATTTAATGCAGTAGACAATGGGGAAGACAGCTGGCCTTGCACGTGTTCATCTTCTGGTTGTACATCTTTTGCTTCTCTACGTGTTCAGCCTGATCTTGTTTCAGCCACTGTTCTGTTGGTTCTACAGATTTTCCTGGGTTTGCATTATCAGAATGATTTGTTGTTTGTGCGGGCCCTTCAACAGCTCAGAGAGGAAGCTTCTTTCCTTCCCCAAGTACACCAAAATGTCGTATTGGGGAATAGGCTGTTGTCCTCATCTGAGGACCATAATGGGGTCTGGGTTGAGTTAAATAATTCCCATCATCGTCCTTCCATCTAAAATCATCACAGGATTTTTTGGTATGGCCCAGCAAAAGTCTACGAGCTTCTCATATTTAAATTCTGCAAAACAGACTTCATCTCCTTGTAATTTAAACTGAAATCCTGGAATGAGAGGAGCATGCACATCTATATCAACTCTTAAACGTAAGAAGCTTTCTAGATCGCCTAGAGTAGACTTATCCCATGATCTGAGTCTGGGAAACAGTGAACCAATAAGCTGGACATTTTCCTGGGTCATGCAACCCTTCGGTAAACCATGGACTTGTACCCAGAACTCAGAGTGTGAAAAGCCAATCTCATCAAAGCGCTGTGATTGGACCTAACAAACGGACGGGTCGGGTTAACTTCGAGTTTGGTCAACTCGGATGACGGGTTATACAATTTGAGTTATAAACTAGTTGTAAGTTAAAAAAATCTAACTTTAATCCAACTCTTAACGGGTTATGGATTAACTCACGGGTTGACGTTATTTTTATTTTTTATAATTATTTTTTTATTAATTTTATTATATACAAATAAAATTATATATATCTAAATCTAATTAAACTAATGTGATTCATTATAAATAAGTACTTTATAGTTTCAACAATAAACAATTAAATTAAAAAAAATCATAAAGTTATAAATAATAATAAATTGATTAATAATAACAATATTAAACGTAAAATATTTAAATTTCTTGAAAAATAAAGTTTTAATTTTATAATAATCTTGAAATATTATCAAGTAATTTAAGTCATTTTTTTAATGATAAAATTACTCTTCTAAAAACATCTTTCATTAAGTTATTATATTTATGTCCTAATAGCATATCTTTTAATATTTTTAATGACATTATCATTTCATTCATGATATTTAAGTAATTGTTAATACAAAAAAAAATGATACTTTGGATAATTAGATCAAACTCATCATAATTTCTTTGTCTTTCTCTGAAAATTAAGAAGTATAAATTAATAGAAGGACTTACTAATAAGAAAATTAATTAAAAATAGTAAATATAATATTTAAAAATAATAATTAAAAATAAAACAAACATATTAATCCATCAACCCGTGAGTTGATTCTAACCCAACTCATGATCCGTATTAGTTGATAATACGGATTATTTATGAGTTACGGGTTGTGATTTGTAGACTCTGATATAAGCCAATATTTGAGGATAACATGAGCACCTTTTACAAACCATGGGCATTCACGGAAGATACGCTCTTTTTCCTTTCATCAGAAAGGACAAAGATATAAGTGTTCTTCGACTGTTCATGCACCTCCGAGCCTCCTTTTGGTCTCCAAGCGCTTTTCAGGATGTTATAAACAACTCCACTTCGGATATCATCTTCATGTGCTAGTAGGTGTCCAGCAAAGGAATAACAATGAAGTTCATCGTGGTCCGATGCCTTGGTCTCGAGTTGTAAAATCGGCATCTCTCGCTCCGATCTTGTGTCTTTCACATTTATGCTGGGACGATTAGGGGCCACTGTCTCCATTAATGCTTGTACCAGTGAACTGGAGATAGTAATTGTGACTTGGTAGGCAGGAAATTAAGACACCACCATAAAGACTGACACTCCTTGCTGTGTGTAATACAGGGTTTGCTTCAGGACAATAACGCCAACCATGGGCTCAGTATACTCAGAGGAAATCAAGGGATTAAAGGAAGAAACCTGAAGGTAGCCTCAGGACAACAAAGGGAAAACCCTAGAGAGAGAAGCTCCTAGAAGTGGTTTCCGAAAACTTGTTTAACAGAGATCGATTCTAATTTTAAATTTTATGTTATCTTAAAAGGACAAAAACAATAAATTTTATACTACAGGTGTACAATAGAAATCAATTATCCTTTAACTAATTACAAGTTGGTAGTAACTTTAAGAATTTAATTTCTTTGAAAATGAAGGGTGCCCCATTGCCCAAGGAACTGTAAGTCTGTAACCCCTCTTCGGTTCGCTTCTGGTCCCTTATATTGGACCATGACCATGAAAATGTTTCAAGCCACAAACCAACATGGAACTGATGTATGCTATTTTGTTTTGCATTTCTTTCCCCTTCCTCTGGCGGATTTTCCTACGCCCCCCCTCCGCCCGAACACTTCCTCCAGGACCTACCAGCCTCCCCATCATTGGCTCCCTCCATCGTCTAGGCCCTTATCCCAACCACTCCCTCTACGAGCTCGCCAAAATCTTCGGCCCTCTCATGACCCTCCGCCTCGGCTTCGTCACTACCGTTATCGCCTCTTCCCCCGAAACCGCCAAGCAAATCCTCCAAATTCACGACCAGTCCTTCTCCGAACGTACCATTCCTGAAGTCATCGCCTCCCAACCGGACCCAGATGCCACCTTAGCCTGGGCCATCGGTGATCAAAGGTGGAGGAACCGCCGCAGAGTCTGTACCACACAGCTCTTCACCGTCCAGAGGCTCAACTCCTTCCAACTCCTCCGCCAGGAAAAGGTGGAGCAGCTTATCAAACACATCAAGAAACATCAGATTTCAGGGTCCCAGATAAACGTAGGACAGGTCGTGTTCGCTACAACATTAAACTTGATATCCAGCACAATCTTTTCCATCGATATTGTTGACCCAGAATTCAACACAGCTCAAGAATTCAAAGATTTGGTGTGGAGAATAATGGAGGATGCCGG